TTTGATGGTGAATACAACACCATTCTTCTTCAGTTTGTCATCCCTGGCATAGTAAACCATATGATTGTCAGATTCAAAATAACCTATACCAGTCCATTTCGGCTCACTGATGTATAGGATGTTAATGTTTATGCATTCCATTTTGTTTTTGACAATTTCCAATTTCTCTAGATTCAGAATTAGTACATTCCATGTTCTGATTATTAATGGATGCTTGTAACTGTTTCTCCTCAATCAATTCATACCTATGAATAATTACACTAAACATTAATGATTAAATGCACCAGTAAAGAGACAGAGAGTAGCAGAAGGGATAAGAAAATTGGATCCTTAATTATTCTGTCTACAGGAAACACACCTTACACACAAAGGCAAAAATAGATTAAAAATCAAAGGATGTAAAAAATGTATCAGGCTATTAGGAAACAAAAATAAGCAGAAGTAGTAATACTAATTTCTGATAAAACAGGCTATAACACAAACACTAGTATAAGAGACAAAGGGCATTATCTCATGATTAAAGGGTCAATTGAACAAGAGGACATAACCATAATAAATATCTATGCTCTTAAGAAACAGCCTCAAAATATATAAGACAAACTCTAATGGAATTGAAGAAAGAAATATACAACCTTACTTATTTAGTAATAAGAAATTTTAATGCACCACTTTTGATGAAGGACAGAACTAGAAAGAAATTCAACAAAGACATAGAAGAACTAAATAGCACAATCAAACAACCTGACTTCATAGATTTATACAGAGTACTCAATTCAACAACATCACAATACATATTCTTTTTCAGTGCTCATGGAACATTCTCCAGCATAGACCATATGTGAAGCCACAAAGTAAACTGCAATAAATTTAAAAACATCAAAATACTGTAAAGCATCTTTTTAGATCACAAGGCTACATACAACTAGAAATCAATAATAGGACGATCAAGGGAAAAAGTTGAATAACATCCTGCTTAAAAGCTACTGGGTAATAGAATCCATAAAAAATGAAATAAACAATTAATAGAATCAAATGAGGATGAAAACATAACATACTAAAGCCTTTGGGACACAGCAAAAGCAGTGCTAAGTGGGCAATATATAGAAATAAAAACACACATCCATAAAGAAAGAACCAAAATCAACACATAAATGCAACATCTTCAACAACTGAAAAAATGTAGCAAAGCTAAGCAAACCTACAGCTACCAGAAGAAAAATACTAAAGATTAAAGCAGAGATTAATGAAATAGAAAACATAAAAGCAATAGAAAGACTCAACAAGACAAGAAGCTGGTTCTTTGAAAGGATTAATAAATTCTATAAACCACTTTCACATGCAAATAACATGCATAAGAAACTGTATGAGTGGCATCACAAAAGAACCAAAGGAAACAAAAGGACAGTAATAGAACACTATGAAGAACTGTACTCCAACAAATGTGAAAAGCCAGAAGAAATGGACAAATTTCTAGAAAAACATAACTTACCTAAACTAATAGAAGTTGAACAGACCTTAACAAAAGAAGAGATTAATCAGGTCATTAAAAAACTCCCAACAAAAAAAAAGAGAGTGAGAGAGGATGTGAAATAAACCTCAAAAGTATAAAAAGGACCAGGCTTGCTGGTCAGAAAGAGACTAGAGGAACCTGAGACTACTGCCCTCAGCCACCCTTCAGGTCTGGAAAGGAACTCACTCTCCACCTAGGAGGAACAGCAACACTCGTGATGTGTGCTCACCATGGAATGGTCTGTCATTCAAGATCAAAATGGCAACATGTACCTAAGACAAAGTTGAGACGTTATGGGAAGGAGAGTGGAATGGAAATTGGAACCACAGAGAGGAAGCGGGATAACTGTTGTTGCATGGAAGGGATTGCATTCAGTGAGATAAAGCAAAGGGTAGGATTTATTGAATGGAAAACTGATGATCTTCTCTGTAAACTTTCACTCAATTCACAATAAAAAGTTAGGTTAAAAAAAAAAAAAAGGATCACCGTCTAGGAAACCATACCAGGCAGTTCTACTTTGTCCTGAGGGCCGCTATGAGTTGGAGTTAACTTGATGGCACATGGTTGCAGGAAGGGCACTGAGTAGCTACCACATGCCAGGCACTGTTTTGCGTGTGGATACAAAAGACAGAGGAAGAGTGCAAGGTTTACTGTTGGTGGTGGTGGTGTCCAGTTGATTCCAACTCATAGTGACTTCATTTGACAGAGTTGAACTTCCTCATATGGTTTCCTTGGTTGTAATTTACATGGAACCAGATTGCTTCGTCTTTTTACTTGTAGAGTTACTGCTGGGTTTGAATCTCCAACCTGTTGGTTAGCAACCGACACCAGGTCTCCTTTGTGCTAACTCTAGTAGGACACACATTGAGGAGCAGGTACTAATTGTTTTCATTTAGAGAGGCCAGGGGATTAAGCATGAGTCCTTGTTTGGTGCTATGGGTTAATGTGCTAGACTGCAAAGTCAGTTTGAACAATGGTTGGCAGTTCAGTCTCACCAGCGGGCTCCTCAGAAACCCTATACAGGGTCACTATGGGATGGAACCGACTTGATGACATACAACAACAACAAGGGGATTAAGCAAGCAGCCCAAAGTCACACAGCTAAGCAGGGCCCTCATTCTAACTTCATTCTTTCCCTACTTCCTTCTTCGTAAACGGTCATAGATGCTAACTTACACAGCACGATTGTCCAATGGCAGTTTGTGAGAATTGAAATACTGTACTTCCTCAGGGGGACTTAAAACCATTCATTGCTATGTGTCAGACTTGTGGTGAGGTAGCTTTTGTAGGGGTCACTCTCAGAAGGAGTCAGGTGATGCAGGCAAAAACCTCTCACAGGGGTACTGCCCTCTCACAGATGTCTAAACGTCTACCCATTAAACCAGGGTGTCTGGAGCTTAGGTCCCTGCATCTGTGCTTGTATCATCTGCTTATTATACCACAACTTCTGGTGCAGTTATGTGAGATGTTACTTTCTAACTGACTCTTGGGATAATATGACAAGACTTCAAAAATGGATTTTTTTCCTACAAACTTGTTGAAGCCTCTTATATATTAAACTAGATCCTAAAGTTTGGAACCATCAGAGACGCCTAGATGCTATTTTCATTATACAAAGGTTAGACTATTTTGTAATTATTTGAGTATTAAACCCTTGAAAACTGAGATAAAATTTTGTAACTTAAATAATTAGGATAATCTGAGAAAGATGAAGGCTAAATGGCTCTACGCAAAATAATTCAAGACAATGATTTCTGCATTTCTGTTGTTGCCTTTTGATTAAAATCTAATTCAATCAGGAGTGTAGATATGACTCTATCATGTACTATTTGAATAATGCTCTCAGATATTACCTGCCAGCAATATTTCTTCACCACATAAAGCTTACTTAGGTAATTATCCATAAAACTTATCATTTCTTAAGCTACAAAAGAATAATCAATAAATATTCAGTATAGAAAACTTCTTAGGCACTTAAAAAAAAAGCCTCACGGTTCATATAAAGTTAATAAAACATTTCTCCAAAATAAGTTTTAACTAGAGATAATAATTCTTGAATGTGGCCCTAAAATATTCTTTATACAAACCCAGCTGCTTCTCAGAAACCCTGTTCAGGGTGGCTATGAGTCAGAACTGATTCAATGGAACTTAACAACAAGTACATTTTATTAAAGAGCAAAGAGGTCAGTTTGAGGACTAAGGTGTGCCTAATCTAAGCTGCGGTATTTTTAATCACCTCGTATGCATGTGAAAGTTGGACAATAACTAAGGAAGACCACAGAAGAATCTATGTATTTTGATTATGGTCTTCTCCAATAGTCTTAGAGAAGAATATTGGAAGTGCTATGGGCTGCTAGAAGAACAAACAACTCTGCCTTGGAAGAAGTGCAGGCAGATGCTCCTTAGAAGCCAGGAAGGTGAGACTTCATCTCTCGTACTTTGAACATGTGATCAGGAGGGATCAGTCCCTGGAGAAGGACATCATAATTGGTAAAGTGGAGGGTCAGTGAAAAAGCAGAAGACCCCCAATGAGATAGATGGATACAATGGCAACAACAATGGGTTCAAACATAACAATTGTAAGAAGGGTGGAGGACCAGGCAGTGCTTTGTTCTGTTGTGCACAGGACTGCTATGTGTTGGAACTGGTTCAATGGCATCTAACAACAACCACATGTGCCTTATTAAGAAGCTTTAGTGGTGCAATGGAGTCCTTCCTGGTGTGGTACTGCAGGATAAGCACTGGACTACAAGATTGGTTTGACCTACAAGGTCAGTGGTTCAAACTCACCAGCCGCTCCTTGGAAACACAACTTGATACCACTTAAGAACAACAAACAACAGCGGTGTAATGGTTAAAGCACTCAGCTGCTAAATGAGATGGTGGTGGTTCGAACCCACCAGCTACTCTTTTGGAGACAAGAATGGTGATTTGCTTCTGATTAGATTGTTGTTGTTAAGTGCTGTCGAGTCGATTCTGACCCATAGAGACCCTGTACAGGGTTTCTGAGGAGCAGCTGGTGAGCTTGAACTGCTGACCTTGCAGTTCAAAGGGCTTGGCAGTCAGGTGCATTAACCCACAGCGCCCCACCAGGACTTCTCTGATTAGATTACAGAATAGGAAATCCCATTTTGTTAAGATTGTTGCTGTTGTTAAGTGCTGTAGAGTCCGATCTGACCCAGAGCGACCCTATACAGGGTTTCCGAGGAGCAACTGGTGAGCTTGAACTGCCAACCTTGCAGTTCAAACGGCTTTGCAGTCTGGTGCATTAACCCACAGCGCCACACCAGGACTCCCCTATTCTTTCCTATAGGGTCACTATGAGTCAGAATCAATTTGATGCCATACACATTCTTGTTTATGAAGGATTCTAGCTTTGTAATGAACACACTCAGTTCTCTTTTTTTGTTGTTTATCTCAGAGAGTCAGCTGTACAAATTGAAAGTGGCTATGACATCACAGACAGCCACCTCTGGCCCCACTCACTTACCTGAGACAGAGGCTCGGGAGGGGGTGGTGGAAGTGGAAGGTCTAGCATGGGATCAGCTGGTGGAGGTGGTAAGTCATCTTCATAGTTGCTAATACTAGTTGCAGTAAAATTTACTTCATAACCCACAGAGGCAGCACCACTGATACTGGGTACCTCGAGAGATTCCAAATGAGGTTGATTCTGTAAAGATGCTTTCTGTGCTTGAATTGTCCTCTGTTCAGCTTCACTTATGTCTGCTACCAGATCAGCCATGAGCGCATCTAAATCCTTGTCCTCCAGGGTATTTAAGGACTCTGATGGGGAAAATCACATTAATGAAAAGAGCTGTTTTGTACCTGGAAGAACTGAAAGAGTCATACATTAATAGGGGAGTCCTTATTTTGCTATGACTTAATGAGAAAGTGTGAACATATTATTGTTTGATAGTATACACACAAATACAGAAATTCCTAAAACAATCACTGGTACACTTACTGTTTGATATGAGCGAGCTGTCTAGACACATCAAGGAAGGAAAACCAGAGGTGAAAATATGCCCCCTATAATGAGGGGGGAAATAGGTCTCCTTCACTGAATCCTGGTGTGGCGCTGTGGGTTAAAAGTCAGTTTGAAGTGTAAGGTTGGTGGTTCAAGCTCATCAGCTGCTCTTTGGAAACCCTATACAGGGTCTCTATGAGTTGGAACTGACTTGATGGCACTTAACAATAACATCGAGGAAGCCAACTCACAGACCAGCTATAAAGTCAAATCCATACATACAAACAGCTGCCTAAGCAGGGAATTCTGGTATATTCTAGTGCAAGAGATTAAGAGTTTCAGAAACATAGGGGAGGAGAATATGGGAAAGAGAATTAGAATTCTCTCTAAGTGTTTGGAGGGCAGGCAGAGTACAAATGACAAAAGAAATCTCGAAGAAAGTGGATCTCATTCAGGCTTTGCGGTGAGGGTGAACTACTGTGGGCACACCATAAAACGACAGAAGCTCTCACATTGAAGAGAGAGCAATTAATGACAGACAGCAGGAATCAACATCCTAAGGGGCTTAAGAATACTAATAACAAAGTAGTTTACTTGAACGATAATTTTCCGGAAACCGTGGTCTGAGTTAATCGTTAAAGGAAATGGCAAACGTGGCTTTTCCAATGAGTGGGAGGGAGGGTAGTTCACTTGAGATCACTGCGCCTGATCCAGAATGCTGTCCGGATTCTGTGGCGCAGGTGGAGCAGTGTTGGTGGGTCATGTTAACAGGCAATTTTGATGAGGAGGTGGCATATGCAATGAACAAAGGATTGGCAGGATAAATGATCTATGAGAAAGCTACTTCTAGAGGTTTGTCATGGCACAGCCTGGTATTTTTGTATGATTACTTAGCACTGCGCTGTTAGCTGCAAGGTCGACAGCTTAAACCCACAGCTGCTCCTTGGGTGTACGATGAAGCTTTACAGCCTGGGGATTCCTATGCACAGGTACTATGAGTTGGAGATGACTCAGAGGCAATGGGTTTATGTGTAGGGATGAACTGGTATGAGGAAACGGGAGCAGTGAAAATGAAACCTACTCAGTGACAAGTAATTTACTGCCAAACATCATCATAATAAACTCCATGTAACATAATAAACTGAAATCTAAGCTGTCAAGTCGCTTCTGATTCACCCTATGTGTGTCAGAGTAGAACTGCTCCAGGTTTTCATGGCTGTGAAAGCAGATTACCAGTCCTATGTTCCGAGGTGTCTTTGGGTGGATTCAAACCACCAACCCTCCCTTAGCAGTCAAGCATGCTGCCACATAAGCAAATGCCTTTTAATCATTTATAAAAATGTTTGGGACAACATTCTCAACATATTTCCACTAATAATTTCTAAAGCAAGTTACATTCTAAATTTATTAATTTGGAATGACATAATACAGAATTAGAGAATGAGACAGAAATGGACTCCATTCTGAATGAAGAGGGACAAAATATTTTAAACTCACTCTAGCAATGAATCTAAAGTGACCGCTATGAAAATTCTATCCCTTTCTAATTTTCTACAAGTTTAATATTTTTGTCTGAATCAGTGCTTTTTGAAGTCCTGTCTTATACCTGAATTGTGCCACATATGTTTGTTTGGCCTCTTTAATGAGATGAGTTTATTGTTACTGTACATTTGTTGTTGTTAAGTGCTGTTGAGTCAATTCCAACTCAAGTGATCCTGTATAGAGTTTTCAAGGAATGGCTAGTGAGCTTGAACCGCCGGTCTTGTGGTTCAAACTGACCTTGTAGTCCAGGGCATTATCCCACTGTGCCACACCAGGATTCCATTATATATGCTGATTTATGGCTCCATTTCTTAGCTTCTATCATTTAGCAATTTTTTGAGTACTGGGTACTGATCTTAATTGACTTCAATTAAACCAAACTCAAGTATTGATTAAATTTTTATTTTAATTGAAACAACTAACTCACTTGGTTGTTTTGAGTATGGTGAGACTAAATCTTCATACGAACAGACATGCTACGTATTACTGATAGAATTTTACAAAGCGTATTACTTTGTGAAACCTCATAAATGTTACCATCTTGGTGGCAATATTGACATGAATAAGTACATGGGGTGAAATGAAGAGGAAAATGGGGCAGGAAAGGAGGAAACTGGAAGAAGTATATTACAATCTATCAAACTGTATACACTGGCACCTCATGGTTTATATATAAAAAGCATATGACTGAAAATGCTAAAAGAAACCGAGTGAGTGACAGAAATAAAATTTGGAACTCTGGTTTCTAAAATTGGCCTCCTCTCTTACTTTGCTTTTCAAACTTTGGTAGGCACAGCAAACCTTTGGCAGATCTTTTTCAAGAGAGAGTTGCAGTGGATTCTCATTACTTTGGAAGCCACTACTTAATAATTGATTATAACTTCAAATGAACTAAAGACGATCATTTTACAGAAGAGAGATTTAAATTAAGAAAATGAAGTCACAATCTCAGGAAAAATGTAAAAGACATAACATATAAATTTATTTTGAAATATTTCACATATTATCATTTATTATGAAACGAACAATTCATTATTATACTTGAATGGATACTTCCCTACTAATATTTCCTTATGTTTCTTAATACTCTATGGGCTTATTAGTAAGAAAAATCCATTTGAAATGCAGTATTTTAAAAAATTATACTAATCATGTCTAGGTTGCTTTTATTTTGTCTTTAAATTAGAGTTCTATACTTAAAGGTTTTAGTCAACTTTATAATGATAAATTTTTACTTTATTTTTTAAACATTATTTTACATTCTTACAACTATAATGATAAATTACTTTAAAAATGGCCATGCTTACCATTTAAATCTTTAAAACCCACAGTGTAGTTGAATTCAGCTGTGGTAGGTTTTGAGTCAGGAGGAGGAAGAGTGTCAACTCCTAAACTCTGTGGAAACAGATGCACCCCCAAAGTTACTCATGATAGAAATTTTTTTTTTTTTGCATATTTTAGCCATTAAATTAACAAGCATTTATTTTTTCCCCCACACATTTCACCTCCCTCTATATTAAGAACCATATGCCTACTTAAAAATGTTTTATGTGATTCCCCCCTCCCCTAAGAAAATTACAACTTAATAGTTATCTTACAAGGAACACTTACAAACAAAACAGGTCAGGTAAAATGGATGGAAACGAAGTGAGTTATATTACTTTATTATATTATATATTACTCACAGTTTTAAACTTCAAGCATATTATTATGCCTATAATCTGAGAAGTGATTTCACCTGTCCTTAAACACAAATGATTTTATATAATGATTTGCTTGGGTAGGTAATATTTTTGTTCATATGTTAGATAACAAAAGAAAACTCATCATATATATATATGAGAAAAAGGAAATAAACTATAATTACTTGTAGCAGGGAAAAAACAAAGCATGTATAAAGAAGGTAGAGGAGCAAAATGGCTCCAAAGGATAAGCAAATAGACTATTGTAATCCACTAGGTCAGCGGTTCAAGTCTGCCAGTTGCTCCATGGAAGAAAGATGAGGCTTTCTGCCTCGGCAAAGATGTAGAACTTTGGAAACCCTACACAAGTTGGCTATGTGTCGGAACCCACTTAACGACACATAACAACAACAACAAAGAAGGTAAACAAAACTTGTGCCCTTTGGTTGTTTAATTGATTATATATCCCTGAGTGTTTTTGTGTACATCTCCCAAGACAAACAAAGAAACAAACAAACCAGAAGGAACAGAAGCAAATGCTGTTGAATGATGATGCATGGAGGAGATTGTAATCATTGCAATGAAGCATATAAACTGTCACTCAATTCACAATAAAAACTTAAAAAAAAACAAAAACAAAAACAAAAAAACTCATGTTGAAGTTGAGTATGTAACATCTCTCTCCAGCTAAGTGATGTGACCTGTGAATTAATTTTAGGTGGTGCACAAAAACACAAGCACTTAAAATTTAAATGGTTGCGTCATCCATTTGGATGTTAATTAAGAAAAAATAAATTAGAACATGTAACTTGGTTGAGATTAACTCTAATTCTAAATAATCAATTAAAGACAAATCAAATAAAGAAAATAGACAGTAGATAGGTTGCAAGTACAGCAAAAATTATGAAGGTGATATGCGAGTGACAAATTTTGAGAACATTGCTCTATACTGACCTCCAAACCAAAAACATGCTCAAAATTTTGTTCCATTAGAAGTTATATAATGGTAATTTGTTAATTCTTGATTTCTTCCAAATACATTAACTGTACTTCTTCAAGAAGAACTTTTTTCCAATAATTATTTCTTTACTCTGAAATACTGTTTGACCAGGACTGTAGAAAAGCTAAGACAATTCTCAATTTTTTCCTTTTACTTATCAGTTTTCAGAGTAACAAGTTAGTGTCCTAGAAGCTTCCAGGGGTGATCAATAAAGCATTTTTGTTTCTGTTTGTTTTAGAGACCATTATGAAATCAGAGTTTATTTACTATTTGCCACGTTGAAATTAAAATTTTTTATATATAATTATATCAATTTTTCTTTTATGACTTCTGAGTGTTGTGTCTTGCTTAGGGAAGCTATTTGCATTTTAAGATTCTATAAAAATTTCTCCCCTGCTTTCTTGTACATGTATTTTATATATTTAAGCTTTGATTCATGGAACTCATTTGGGTATAAGGTATGAGGCAGAACTCCAGTGTTGCATTTCCCAGGTGGATTATTCCAAGTCAATTAATTAAATTTATTCATTAATTCTCCTTTTCCCATTTAATTAAGATGCCAACCCAATCAGATTTTAAAATCCCTGTATATAGTTGGGTTAAATTCTATCTCACTAATCTCGTTTAAAATATCATCACTCGTCTTATTCAAAAATTTCCTGGCTACTTATGCATTTAAATGTTTTCCTATATAAACAGTAGACTTGATTCGGTATACCTTCCCACATTACATCCATATACTCAGTTAATATATCCATCTGTTCCCAGAGTGTGCGTGTCTATGTACACATGTATATACTTATAAAAGACAACAGTTTCTTACCATATACCGTTGTTGCTACATGTTGTCAAGTTGGTTCAGACTCATCATGACCCTGTATAGGGTTTCCTCCTCAGAAACCTAGTGGATTTGAACTGCCGGATTTGTAGTAATCCGTCCAGTGTTTATCCTCCAATGTATAGGGTTTCCTCCTCAGAAACCTAGTGGATTTGAACTGCCGGATTTGTAGTAATCCGTCCAGTGTTTATCCTCCAATGTCACACCAGGACTCCTTTCATATACTGGTGGTGGTGGTGGCTGTATGTCATCAAGTCAGTTCTGAGTCACAGCAACCCTATATAGGGTTTCTTAGGCTGTAAATCTTTACAGGAGCAGAAAACCTCACCTTTCTCCCTTGGAGAAACTAGTCGATTTGAACTGCTGATTTTTGAGTTTAGCAGCACAATGCACAACCCATTACACTACCAGGGATCCCTATCATTGTTTAGTGATGTCAAGTTGGTTCTGACTTATGACTATAAGTATAGGGTTTCTGAGGAGTAGCTGGTGGATTTGAACCACCGACCTTGTGGTTAGCAGTCCAGTGCTTATCTTTCTGTGCCACAGCAGGACTCCTACTATATATTAAGTATATACCAAATACTTGGGGGCTTAAAAAAAATTTGTGAAAAACATGGAAGAGAAACCAAGTCAAGTGTACATATATTTGAGGGGGAGGTGTTCAAAAGTTCATGGAAAAATTCTATTTTCTTTTAATACCATTTCCCTATGAACTTTTTGATGCCTCTTTGTGTGTATTCATACAGAAAGTAGGAATAAATATTGCCCTTTCTAATTAATTATGAATACAACAAAAGTCTTACAATGTAAGGTTTTTAGTTGATTCTTTGTGGGTTTTTTGCAGTATAGTGGACACTGGATTGATTTCTAAAGTGGTTCACAATGAATTTCACATTGTTGACTCCTAAAAACCTTTTTCTGAGAGTACATAGGTATGAGCACTTGAAACTTATTTAAATGGAAAAAAGGGGAGGAGGAAAGGGGAAATGATAAAGATTTTCTGTTGTTTTGACAGTTCCCAGATTCTAAATGACTCTAAGCCAATCTGGGGCCCAGCATCACAAACATGTTCTTTCCTTCCTCTTTCTTCCCTGAATTAAGATGACTTGTGGGACATGGCATGATGCGTGACAGTAGGTGGAGAAGGACATGGTCATGAGAGGACTATTTGGCTAGAACCAGGATTGAAAGAGGAACAAATCTTGTTTCCTTTCCTCCAACTTTAACTTAAACTTGATTTGAAGCTATGTAAATGACATGGTGTTGGAGGAGAATATTTAAAGTGCCATGGGCTGCCAAAAGAACCAATAGATCCATTTTGGAAGAAGTGTAGCCAGAGTGCTCCCTGGAGGCCATTATGGTCAAACTTCGTCTCTCATACTTTGGACATATTGTCAGGAGGGACCAGTCGCTGGAGAAGGATATCATGTTTGGTAAAGTGGAGGGTCAGAGAAAAAGAGGAAGACCCCCAACGAGATGGATTGGCCAAGTGGCAGCATCAATGGACTCAAGTGTGGCAACAGTAGTGAGGTTGGCCCAGGATCGGGCAGTGTTTTGTTCTGCTGTGCATATGGTCGCTATGGGTTGGTGCTGACTCGATGGCACCTAACAACAACAACATGACATAGACACTTAAAAATGTGTCTGTGCTTCATAGTCTCTTTTTTTTTATAATTATTGCTACATTGACACTGTATATAGAAGACATGAAATCCCTGGGTTGTGCAAATGGCTAACATGCTTGCCTACTAACTAAAAGGTTGGAGGTTTGAGTTCCCCCAGAGACATCTCAGAACAAAGGTTTGTTGTGCTCCTTCTCAAAGATCAGTCATTAAAAATCTGTGGAGCACAGTTCCACTGTCACATATGTGGGTTTTCCGTGAGTTGGACTCAATGGCAACTGAAAACTGGTCCTGTTAAGTTGGGTGTCAAAACGCTGTCAAGTTGACTACTTTTTCCATGTTTATTAGTTACGTTGTTGTTGTTATGTGCAGTGGAGTCGGTTCCGACTCATAGCGACCTTGTACAGGGTTTCCGAGGCTGTAAATCTTTACAGGAGCAGAAAGCCTCATCTTTCTCTCGCGGAACAGCTGGTAGTTTCGAAATGATGACCCTGAGTTTAGCAGCCCGATTCATAACCACTACGCTACCAGAGCTCCTTAGTTATGGATTCAAGTAAAATAAAATTCTTGACAGCTTCATTTTTTTCTTCATTTATCATGGTTTGGTTGTGAGGATTTTTGTTTTCTTTATGATGAGGTATAATCCATACTGAAGGCTATAATCTTTGATCTTCAACAGTAAGTGCTGTAAATCTTCTTCACTTTCAGCAAGCAAGGTGTGTCATCTGCATATCAAAAGTTGTTACTAAGTCTTCCTCCAATTTTGAGGTTGCATCCCCTTGTTCTGTTTGAATGACTGCCTCTTGGTCTATGAATGGGTTCCACATGAAGACAATTAAGTCTTTTGGAATTCCCATTCTTTGCAATGTTATCCATAATTTATTGTGATCTACAGTCGACTATGCAAAGGTGTAAGTCAATAAAATTCTGTCATGTGATCTCTTGCTGTTTCTATCCCAAGGCAAGATATTTCCATATCCTTTCTCTTCATCTCCAACTTTCTTATTCCAATCACCAGTAATTATCAATGTATCTTGATTGCATGCTTGATCAGTTTCAGACTGTAGAGATTGGAAAAAATGTTCGATTTCTTCATCTTTGGCATTAGTGGCTGATACGTAAATTTTAAAGGATCCCTGGTGGCATTGCACGATGAATACTAGGACAACTAACCACAGAGTCGGCAGTTCAAACCCACTAGCTGCTTCATGGGAGAAAAATGAAGCTTTCTGCTCCCTTAAATATTTACA